CTTACTATATATATATATATATATATATATATATATACAGGGCAGTGATTTCGTGCAATGGTTGTATCATAGTATATAATGCAACAACACTTCTAGAAAACTATGTCTTTGGTATTTGTATGACCCAAAATTTTGTATACACTCTCTTCATCTCAAAAATCAATCCAAAAGAAACAAAGAGTTCAATTTAAACCCTAGATATGGTCAAAATTATCCCCTCCAAAAACAAATCTATACCATTGATTTGGTGAATTTCAATATCTTAGCCTTTATAGACTCAAAATCATTTTTTCTTTTTTCACATTGTTCATCTAATGATAATAAAGCCATCCAAAAAAATTGGAAATGAAAAAATCCTTCTAAGGCCTAGCTAAAAAAATACTTCTTAGGTTGTGTTTTCAATATTTTTCTTTTCTGTGATTTTCTTTAGAACGAAAAGAGTATATATTTTAAAATTTGGATCAAACAAATGGTCATAACATGAGTTTTTAATGTTGTTGCATCATGTTACTATACAACTGTTGCATGAAATCATTGCCTATACATATATATGGAAGATGCTAGGGTCAGCCCAATAGCTAATGGAATAGTATAAGCCCAACGACTCTGATTGAATATGGGCCGATCTGATGGTCAATACTATGTTTCGATAATATAATTTTAATATTTTTATATAAATCTAAATAACATGAAATTTGGCGTATCAACTATTCTCATCAGGGCACACCTAATACAAATATTAAAAAAAAATTCATATAAAATACATTGTCCAAAATACCCCTAAAATATTTCAAGGGTATTTTGAACAATTTATTTTATGTGAATTATTTTTTGATATTTTTATTAGATTCCAATACTTTTGAATAGTAAACGCTCCAAATATTAATTGATTTGGATTTTTTTTTAAAAAAAAATAAAATTCAATTACGAAATACAACTGTGATAATTAGATTGGTCCAAATTCAATCTGAGTCGTTGGGCTTATACTGTTCCATCAGTCCTCAACCATCAGATCTAGGTAGATGGCTGAGATGGCTTGAGTCACAGTGTCACAAGCCAGCACTTAGCCGTTATATCTTGATCAGACGGCTCATGTATTGTTTTATTTATTATTTTTATTCTACAAATAATTTTGAAGCATAATTTGGGGCATGAATAGATCTAACAAGGGCACACATGATAAAAATATTTTTGATAACAAAAATTACCATAATATCCCTAAAAATTGTTAAGGCATTTTGGTCATTTATTTTTACATAAATATTTTTGTTTTATTGTTTTAGGTTCACCGTAATTTTCAGATGGGATGCCCAAAATTTCATAAAAAAATATTTTGTAGAAAGAAAATGAAAAATAAAACAGTGTTTGAAGTGAATAATCGTAGCAGTTTGATTCAAATCGAACAATTAAGAAGTGGGGTTGCATATAATTTATAAGTTGTTGGGGTCCCATAAAAACACCCAAACTTGAACTTGTTTCTTATGTATAATTGCATTTTTCTTTTGTGTAAGATTTTGATTTTTTTTAATTTGCATCTTCTTGAAATATTGCTCACTTTGGAAGCAGGGTATAAGGTCGAAGGCAAAGATGAAGCATCAGTGTCCAGTCCTGACCATACCCATTCACAGGTTCAGCTTCTTTATTATGGCCTCATAGTTCAGTATGAAGAAAGCTTTAGTATGTGGCAATTAAGGATCGGATTTTCGGGAACTATTTTATGGGAAATGAGATACTTTTTTGACACCATTCCCTGAAATCATAGTATTATTGCATCCACAATTTTACCATTTTTTTGCTTTCCAAGTTTCATTTACTTCAATATTTGTCTACTTAAATTTTTCTATTTTGTATATGTTACCTGATTATTCTTTGCATGATTGATGCGTAATAATTTTATTTATTAATGGGTTTTGTAGAATACTTCTTACATATGGTCTGGTAGTATACTCCTCACAAATGTTCTCAAATTTTGGGACTTAAAATACCTTTGCCCTACAATACAAAATCACTTTCTTCTTTAACAAAATTTCCATTTTTCTAACTCCTATCGCCTCTCCTTATGATTTAGGATTTAGAGTTGCGATTCTGCATCATATCCAGCGCACAAAAAAAAAGAGCAAACCCATCTTTTGACTTGCCTGGTTTGGATTTGAAATCTGAATTTTGGACCCTATTAGAATCTCGGTACGGATTCAAGATTTGGATTTGATAGATCAGATATGTATCCAAAATTTGGATCCAAATGGTAATTATCTTTCATTTTTTTTGTAGTAGATAAGTGGAGATCACAGACCCCTCTACCTGTTTTGGAAAGAGTCAACTTTTTTTAAAGTGTTAGTGATAATGGAGGTTGTGACTTTTAACCGGGGCTCGAGTGGTACTATCACCGCAACCCCTCTACCTTTTGGTAAGAATGGAGTCCAAGATCATCTTGGGGCTTGACATTATTACTGCCAAGGGCCAGCCCATTCTCAACTTTGATCATTTATGGGTTAAGAAAGGAGAAAGGTTTCTATTCTTCCCCTATTGCATAGAAAATATATGCTTTCTTCTCCCCATCTAGCTGTTCAATTTATATCAAGTGAGTCACTGAGCGTTTGATCTAGATCCGACTCCTTAGAATACTTTATTTTTAGTTTTTTCTACAAATTATATGAATATGAAATTTGGTATGTGCTATCATTTTAATGGGGTGCACTTAAAAAAAAGATTCAGTTTTTTTTTGATAAAATATATTGGCCAAAATACCCGTTGAATCTTTAAGGGGTAATTTGGTTATTGTATTTTATTGAAAATATATATTTTATTATTATTATTATTATTTTAAATGTGCAAGTTTGAGAGAGGAGTGGATGCCCAAAATTTGGTGTCAAAATATTTTTTAAAATGCTTAAAAATAAAACAATATTGAGACGTGACATTGTGATTGGGCTCATCTCAGCCGTCCATTCAGAATGGACAGTTAGATAGGGGGAGGTGTTTAAGTTTTATGCAGTAGGGTAAGCTTGCCCTTAAGAGAATAGCTAATCTCTAATCTCTACTCAAACAAAAATGTAAACAAATGCAATCTTAGCAGTTAGAAGGTGCGACATGAAATGATTTATCAATCTTATTCATTAATAGAAAATTTTACTATGTACAAATGGGGATTGAGGAATAGAGACATCCGAAGAAGTAGCAACTTGGGAATTAATCTTAGTAGGGCCTAGAGTTGATGTAGTTGCCCGGAGGAGAGTACTCGCAGACAGCAAGCGTGTCTCCGCTGTCGCATATAATCTTGGCACAGCCGACTCTTTCGGTGTTCCTCCACACGATCTGAGTGTAGTGGGTGCAGTCAGGTCCATTGCAAACATTGAGGTTGTGGTCGTAATATTGCTTTTGAGTCACCCATGCGGCCACAATATCAGTGATGTCCCACTTTCGGCCACTCCCCCAAAACATGTTCTCTCCCAGTGGCCCCTCTGAGTGCTTCAGAGCGCAATCGCTTCGACGTTGCCTAGCGTAGCTGCGGGCAAACTCGGCCAGCCTTGAGTCCCAAACCAAGGGACCCACGCCCACGTCCCCCCTAGCCGCATTCTGTGGATCGAGAAAAGCTCTTACTCCCACTGGGTTCATGCTATTTCCATTCGAGGCCTCCCCGGCCACGAAAAAAGCTATGATCACCAAACTAGAGACACTGCAAAGGCTGGCCATCTCGGCTCCTTTTTTTGTCAAATGAATCTAAGCAATGAGGCACACTTGATTTGTTTGGTTTGGGTAGAGCTAGATGGAATTTTTTATGGTTAATGGACCACAACATTGGCTTATATATACATACAGGGGGTGTATAATATGAGGAGTTTGAGTAGGTTTGTGGAGTCCATGATATGGCGTAGAATAGTGAAACATATATTGTAATGTGTTGCCATGTTTAAAAGATAACGGCTGACTTGGTTGTGGGGTTTGCTTAAGGTGAGATGTCTGGCTTACATATATTTATGTTGCACAACAGTAATGTTTTGTCCAATTTTGAAAAACAAGGTTCGGTGATCCGCGTTGCCTCTCCTGATTTTCCATCCTGTTCATGGATGTGCGATTTGGATTGACAATTCGGATTCCCAAACTAAATATTAGAAAATTACAAAAAAAAAGAGAAAAAAAAAAACAAAATAGGGTTGGTTTTGACTGGACCCTTGCCAGGTCAAGGGGGAATCACCTGATATTTTGCTAAAATCAATTCGGAACGGATGATTCCTTGCCGAGCTATTCCAATCCACATAAAGCTTTTTTTTTTTTTTTTAAACATTGCTTTTCCCTCGTTTTAAAGATAACGGCTGACTAGGCTGTAGGACTTAGTTGAGGTGAGAATATGAAGGCTTGTTCATTGAACATCTAGGTGCTACAAAGTCAATGTGAACGTGTGTTTTTTAGGTTATACTGGAAAAACCTCTCATACAAATAGTAGAGTGAACCTCACGAATGGAAACGAATGTGCCTTCCTTACAACTGCACTAATCCATGACATTTGATGCCTCGTGTTTATACGTTCTAAGCAACCACAACCCCTTTTAAAAATGCCACACGTCTTGCTCTAATATATGGAAAAGTTTATAGTAAGAATATTTTTGGCACAAGGAGTTTATAATCACTAAAAACTATTATTAGATGTGAAATTAAATGGCTGAGGTTGTGTGCGTATTTTTTTATTTTTTTTTAAAAGGTCAAAATAAGTTTTATTGTATTATATTCCACACCCCTAGCCATTGGATTTCACACCATATAACTAAGAGTGATTGTAACCTCTTTGTATTAAAATATATCATGCATACAATGTGAACGAACAACATCCATATATATTGTAAATACCGCTTTTGAATTTGGTCGTATTTATAAACCCTTAGCCCAAAATTTGAAATTGAAGCTTTATTTTTTTTTGACCAACATTCAAATATTTTATTGATAACTTAAAATGAAATTATATCGTCATAAATAGTAAAAGAACCAAGAGAAACGCCACCCTTAGCTAATGTATCAACAACTTCACGGTAGACATGGGAAAAAAATACAGAAATAGATATAGATGCAAAAGCATCCATAACCTGCAACCATAAATATCGAAATTCCCACGGTATTTTCTGCTCTTTCTTGTACCACCTGATAACATTCAGAGAGTCTTTTTCAATTAAACAATTGTTCCCCAACTTCCTTTCAATGAAAATATGCACACTCCTTAGCAAGGCACTTCATTCCGCAAAATTAGCTGTAGCAATTCCAATTAGTCCCGCATAAGATAAAACAATATTTCCAAAGTAATCACGAATAACACCACCAATACCAGCTGGACCCAGATTCCCCAAGGAGCTCCCATAAAAATTTAGCTTCAGACTCCCCATCGGTGGTACAAACCACAAGCCCTTAGGCCGGCATCTACTCACATCAAGAGAAAAAAAATTGGAGAGATTGACCGTAACATCAACTTTTGAGATCCCCCATCCCTCTTTGGCCACAGAGAGACTTGACCATATAGAAAGTTTGATTAAATGGAGTAACTTATCAAACGAAAAAACAAAATCCTCAAAAGTTCTCTTATTTCTCTCCTTCCAAACTTCCCAAAAAATGACCCCTTTTACAATTTTCCAAATTATACCACTGAAATTGAAGCTTTATTACATTCCTAAATCTTGAGCCTATGCAAGTTATTCCTAAAACACGGGCAAGAATAACCTAATAAGCTATTAGAGACCATATTAGTGCAATAAACCTTGGTGTACCCTCATCTATAGTCCCTATACCCTAAACCATGATTCACAATGTGGAAAAAAGAGGTGCAAGGAGATAGTGACATAAATTACATTGTGGGTGCCGTATCAACGACACAGATCGCATTGCTATCTATTTAACTGTCCAGATTAATCCTGATTGATTTGAGATTCTAGAGTGATCCAAGAACGTGTGAAGGCGCAAAAATCAGCCTATAAAAGGACCCTTTTTTGGGCCTAGAAGTTCAGTTATCAAAGCTCAGAGAGATTTTAGAGGGACTGTACAAAACCCTAGAAAAATTAGGGATCAGAAGATCCCACATAGAGAAACCCTAGCCTTAGGTGACCCAAATCCCGCACTTTCATTCTTAATAGCAATGAAAACCCTTGAGCAAGCTTAAACCCAAGGTCTAGGCACCTAAACACTAGAAAGCTAGTTCCCCTAGATCAATCTCAACGAACAACAATATTAATTCTACTACATATTTTTTATATTTTGATTGATTGCACGAGGTAGAGGCACATTGGCCATCCAAATTTTAGATCAAACAAACTTGTTAAAAAAAAAAAAATTCGCAGACCAAAATACACTATCAACTATGTGCTCAAAAGTGGAAGGTGGATAGCCTTTAGGCTCATGAATGAAATTACAATTACTCAATTGGTAGAAAAAACATTGAAAACAATATTGTGTATGGACCTCTGCCGGCTTAATATTGGGGAATGAATCTGCGCCCTCAAAGCTATTTCGTAGGCTGGGGCCTCACACACACAAACACAAATGTATGGATATATAAGATCCCACTGTGGAATGTCACTACCACAGTGCCACACCCAGTTTGAATATGGACTGATCGGAATGTCAAAAAGGTTATTATTGTTTATGTTTTCACTTTTTAAAAATGTTATGCTGCAGTGGCGTCTTTCGTGTGTGGGAGGACTTTCATGGTATTGAAATAGAGGCTGAAGAGTAATGATTTTCTCTTTTAAATAAGTGTGTGGTTTCTCTAAGGTTGCAAACTTGAACAATTCAATTAAGGCGCACCTCCAAATTTTATTTTAACATGAAATTTTGATGGAAATTTTTTTAGGATTATCTGAAAATCTATTTTTATAGCTAACTATAAAATTTTAACCTCCAAAATTGGTTAACATCAAGTAGATCTATAAACGTATAGAAATCATGAAAATGATCGGTGTAAATAATGTGTTGCAAGATGCACTAGATCTGGGATTTAAAATCTTTTTTTTTTTTTCATATTCATACTTCATACATCTTGATGTCGAGATGATCTATTTTTTAGAATTTTCACATTAAAACAACATTCTCCTATGGATGTTTTAGGTGCATCCATAAGTCTACATTTTTAAAGTTGCTAACTTTATATAAACTGTTTCCATTAAATAATGATACTCTATAAATACGAGTTTAGAGAGACGGCACTCTCTTTGGAGAACTGATTATGGAGAAGTGATTAAAATGAATGTAACCTCATCTTATTGCAGGTGGGCAAACATGAACTCCTTGATCACTGTCCTTTATGATTTCTTTTGGATCAGCTAAAGTTTCTTAGTTGGGACAATATAAAATTAGAGCGTTCATTTTCCGTGCACAAACATAAAAGAGAGCCTCGCTAGCAAATACATTATCATGTTGGGTTCTCATATTTCTTTACACAAATTTCAAATACACTATCAGTCATTTTGGGTTCTGATATTTCTTTACACAAATTTTAAAAAGATTATTCTAAAAATTAGAAAAAGTTTATATGAGGTGTCAACCTTACACGGTTGAAATAAGGTGCATGCCAGTGAAAAAATATACAATTGTCGCCCTGAGCTCGAGAACTATGGATATGAAAACAGAAAAATGATTGAAATTCCTAAAATATTGCATCTTTTTACATATTATCATCAATTTTCAAGACTTTTAAGTGTTTATAGATCGGCTCGTTCTTACATCATTTTGAAGCTTTAAATTTCATAGTTACATTTATACATAAATTTTTAGGCCACAATAAGTGTTTTTCGGCACCACAACTGCATATTTTAGCAAAGAGTAAAGCTACCAAACAATTGGCAGTTATAATGAATAGTAATATAGGTCCAATCTTAGCCATCAAATCTTCATCTAGTGGTTCGCAATATATATCACTATTTGAATTTTAATCATTTTTCGATAAATCAGATTCAGATGAAATTTTGTGTGTATATACTTGACACTTATCGCGCACCATATAAAAATTTAAAAAAATACTTTCAAGAATTTAAAATGATCAAATTACCCCTCATCATTTTGTAAGGAAATTTTGGTCATTTTATATTTTAGAAAATATTTGTTTTATATTTTTTTCTTGTACACCTTATTTTTTAGTATATATGCTCAAAATTTCAACACGATACGATTTTTTAAAAAATAAAATAAAATAAAATTCAGATAATAATATTTATTTTGAATCAACCAATATTTATTTAGTATTCGTTATAGCTGCCAAAGTGTTTTGTTAGCATAACTTGGAGGCAAGCGTTACTTTCTCTATCAAACCTTTTACAAATTGCACCCTTAATAATTTGAACATAGTCAACTTATACACCACAACCACACTTGATTATTTGAGGATATTTTGCCTCTTTTTAAGGTAAATAGATTCAGTGAATACTTTTTCTTTACTTTTCTACTCGGGGTACACCTTAGCAATTTGTTTTGTGCCTTTCACCCCACTATACCAACATACAATATATTATCGTTTGACAAAGCGTATTTTTGTTTTGAATGATTGTTGTTTATTCGCTTCAATCTTTTCTTTCTTTTTTCTTTTTCTCTCTCTTTTTTTTTTTTTTCCTTTTAACGTGTGGTGTTGCCATAGAAAAGGTAAAAAATTAGTACCATTCCAAAATATATCAGAACTTTTCATCAATCCCAAAATTTCTTTTTTCAGTATACTCATCGCAAATAGGAATGAAAGTATTCTAAGCATCTCACACTTGCTCCCTTAGGAAAAACACAAATTTGGGAAAAGACTCAGAATGATGGTTTAATATGGAGTTGAGGAATCCCGTTAGAATCACAATTGAATAATTTAAGGTAAAAAAGGGATTTTAAGTCCAAATAATCTAGATGTCATTGTTCACAAACTGAATGATTTTTTCTCACAAATCTAGGAAACAATTTTAACATTTTCTTTTTTTCTAGATTGGTCTTGAACATGTTTTATCTGAAAACATAGGTGACAAAAAGGTACTCCAAGTTTGATTTTTTCCCTAAGGAATGAGTGTACATTTGCTCCTATGAAAGCATATAACTAGTTTCATTTATGAAATATTTCCTCGTTAAATATTCGCCTATTAATTGTGAAAGATAGTACATATCCGTGAAGAACATTTGTTATAAACTAGAAATATGTAAGCATATCGGTTAAATGAAAAGTAAATTCTTATGTGAATTTGGAATTTTTACTCACAAAGAAAATAGAAGCGGTAACATGATGCATCTGACATTGACCAAAAAAAGAAAAAGAGTTAACATTATGTATGTGATGCAGATGAGAGTGGTTAAAGGATTACATTTGATGAAGTCTCAGGTCATCACTTCCTAGTATCACATTAATGATATAAGCATACCCACATCATTAATATAAACAAATGGATATGCTCTTTTGCAAAGATGGAAGCCCATCCATCTACAACTTTGACAACGATTTTTCACTAATATAACATTATCAATTGTCATTTGGTGTTTGACAACGTCCGAAAGATAAAACTTAACAAGGTTTTTAGGGTGGAAATGGTCGTCCTTCCCTGCTCTGCACTGCCTAGTTTACATTTTTTTTGGTAGATCGTGGGGATTACAGGCTCTACGCCGTTTTGTAAAGATTTAATTTTAGGATTAGTGAGTAGGGATTTGGCCCTATGCCCTTTGATGAGAATGGAGTCGAAGACTTTTTCATGGGGCTCAATGGTACTACCGTCAAAGTCCAATTCATTCTTAACTTTAATTATTTATGAGTTAAGAAAGTAGCTAATCTATCGATGTAAACAAATGCAATAACAGCAGTTATGAGCTGCCAAATCAATGACTTATCAATTTTTTTATTAATAGAAGATTTTGCTATGTACAAAATGGAAATTGAGCAACATCAACATCCCAAAAGGTGCAATATGGGCTCCATGTTGGACCATGTAAAGTTAGTAGGGCCTGGAGTTGATGTAGTTGCCCGGAGGAGAGTACTCGCAGACAGCGAGGGTGTCTCCGCTATCACATATAATCTTGGCACAGCCGACTCTTTCGGTGTTCCTCCACACGATCTGAGTGTAGTGGGTGCAGTCAGGTCCATTGCAAACATTGAGGTTGTGGTCGTAATATTGCTTTTGAGTCACCCATGCAGCCACAATATCAGTGATGTTCCACATTCTGCCACTCCCCCAAAACATGTTTTCTCCAAGTGGCCCCTCCGAGTGCTTCAGAGTGCAATCTGTTCGACGTTGTCTAGCATAGCTGCGGGCAAACTCGGCGAGCCTGGGGTCCCAAACCAAGGGGGCCACGCCCACCTCCGCCCTAGCCGTGTTTTGTGGATCAAGGAAAGCTCCTACTGCCACTGGGTTCGAACTATTCCCGTTCGAGGCCTCCCCAGCATGAATTCCCATTGCAGCCATAAGGAGGGCCATGAGCACTATTTTCGACACACAACACGGGATCGCCATCTCGGCTTGCTTCTCGGTCAAATGTATCGAGTAATGAGGCATACTTGGATCGTTTTGGATTGGGTATGGCTAGATGGATTTTTGGATGGTTAATGGACTACAAGATTGGTCCATATATACATATATACACATATAGGGGGGTTATAATATGAGGAATTTGATTAGGTTTGAGGAGTCAATATACAGCGCAAAATAAAGAAATATATACATTGTAATGTTTTGCCGAGTTGAAAAGATAACGGCTGAGTTTATTGTGGGTTATGGTTAAGGTCAGAATATGTGGTTTGTTCATTGATCCTAAAATAGGTCAAGCCGCCGTCTCTCCTTGTTGAGTGTGCACCAGAAACAAGAGAGAATTTGTGTGTTTTAGATCATTAAATAAAAGGAAAAAGTTTATATATGGTGTCCACCTCATACTGTACAAGTAAGGTGCGTTCAAAAAAATCCATTGACAAGGTTTTTTTATGCTGTAAAACCCTTAAATCGATCATCTCGACCTCGAGATTCATAGATATATAAAAAAAAAAAGATGTTTTTTTAGCCCTAAAAATAGTTCATCATCTAACACATTTTTTAAGCCGTCCATTCTCAAGATTTTCATGTGTTCATAGATGTGCTTGATCGTCACCAATTCTAAAACTTTAAATATCATAATTGGGAGTAACTATAAATTTTCATATCATCGTAAGACTTTCAGCGCCGAATTGCATGTCGCTTCCTTACAAGTGCATGCATGTAATCCATGGCATCTGATGGCTTGTGGTCACAAACTCTCTTCACACACGCATTCTAAGCAGCCACAAACTCTCTTCACGCAAGCATGTTTGTGTATAGAGTTGGTTTATAGTTAAACTGTTTCAAAATACTAATATTAATGATAGAACGGACTGCAATGGGTGTGTTCATCAAAAATTTATTGTTTTTTTGTTTATCTTATATTAATAATTGCATATATTTTCTTCTTTAAACGGTAAATTTTTTTAAAGAAAAGAAACCACATAATCTGTCGTTAACTTTTGCCTTTTCAGGGCTTTGAATCATGGATAATTCTATATGTATAACCCTGAAAAAGAAAAGGGATTGTCTACAAAGCAACGTTTAAAAAAACGGATCGGTGACACAAATTGGTCACATCCTTACCTATGTCGGATCGGGGGAATCGGTGAATCAGATCGGTAAAATTGGTAATTTTTGTTCCAACCATTTTTTAAAATAATTCAAGAAAAAGTGTTCATCATTTTTTTCGCTTGACTCGCTGAAGAATCGGTTGGAATCAGTAACGAATCGGTTAGACTCGGTGAAGAATCTTCGGAATCGGCGGTTCCGTGAAAAAATCAGTGATTCTACTATTTGGAACCATCTGAACGCCATTTTTGGGCATAATCCATAGTGTTCTGGGGCAATTCCTGATCCGGATAGCCTGATTCCGGATTAGATCACCGATTTTTAAAACCTTGCTACAAAGATATCATTTACTTTTGTACAAAGAGGTCAAAACTATTCCAAACCATTAGATGGCAAATTGGATGGCTTGGTGTAAGTCACGAAGTCCGAGTTTTTTTTTTTTTTTGTAGAAGAAGAAGAAGAAGTGGAGCATAGTACGTGTATTCTTCTTCTTCTACTTCTTGTTTTTTTTTTCTTTTTTTTCCTTTTTGGACTTGTATTTATTGTAGTTATTAATAATGGAAATAAGTAAGGCACACATTTCCCAGCTGACTTACGCAAATTACCAAAAAATACACGGCTTGGATCATCACCTTATGCAACCTCATAGTATAAGCAAACAGTTAGATTCTATTGCAAAGATAGAAGCCATTTAGTCTAACATTTTGGCAGCAATTTTCAGTAGAATAGCACTAGCAATTGTCATTTCGTGTTTCACAACATCCACCAAATACAAGGATAATCAACATTGGCTTCAATGGTTGGAAACAGTCATTCCTTCCTGCGATGGTAAACCACGAAGCCAGTCTCTCTATCCAAACAAAGGTGCAAACAAATGCAGTGACAGTGGTCATGAGGTTCGAATGTTACCTCTACAAATTTCGTGGCTTAGCAGAGGGGCGTCAATTTAGTTATTCAAATGGAATGTTCCCACTACAAATTGAAAGTGACTCATCTTTATTTGTTCAGGTACTTGTTCAGGTTATACAAGGCAAATATAAATCTCCATGGGCTCTCCATAATATAACCGTTAATTGTGAGTTCAGTCTTGAGAATTTTTTATGATCCATATGCTATGTCTACCGTGAGACTAATACGGTAGTTGATGTTCTTGCAAAAAAAGCTACAATTTTCACAGAAGCCACCATTTGGTGCTTCAGACCTCCAGATTTCCTTCATCTTCCTTTACTCCATGATGAGGTGCAACTACCCTATTACAGGGTTGAAAAATGGTATGATATAAGTTTTTCTTTCTTGGATTAATGAAAAGCAGGTAGGAGCCTTCTCCTAAATTGATTTATCGAAAAAAAAAAGAAAGGTCGGACATCAAACTACATATCAATCTAGTTCATTAATAGAAAATTCTTAGTATGTACAAATGCACAGAGATCCCAACAAGTTGCAACATGGGGTCTCTCTACCACCACATCATATCAGTAGGGCCTAGAATTCACATAGTTGCCCCCCCCCCGGAGAGTGAGTACTCGCAAACAGCAAGCGTGTCTCCACTATTACATATAATGTTGGCACAGCCGACGCGTTCAGTGTTCCTCCACACGATCTGAGTATAATGGGTGCAGTCAGGTCCGTTGCATACATTGAGGTTGTGATCGTAATATTGCTTCTGAGTCACCCACGAGGCCACAATGTATGTCTGTGATATTCCACTTTCTGCCACTTCCCCCAAAACATATTTTCTCCCAGTGGCCCGGCCCCTCTGAGTGCGTCAGAGCGACAATCTCCTCGACGTTGTCATAGCTGCGGGCAAACTCGGTGAACCTTGAGTCCCAAACCAAGGGGCCCACATCCACGTCCACGTCCGCCCTAGCCACATTCTGTGGATCGAGAAAAACTCGTACTCCCACTGTGTTCGTGCTATTTCCACTCGAAGCCTCCGCGGCATGAATACTCAATGCGGCCACAAAAAAGGCTATGATCACCGAACAAGAGAGGCTGCAAAGGATCGTCATCTCGGCTCTTTTCTGTGTCAAATGAACCTAAGTAATGAGGCACACTTGATTTATCTGGTTTGGGTATAGGTAGATGGAATTTTGGATGGTTAATGGACTACAAGATTGGTCCATATATACACATGTAGGGAGGTTATTATAATGTGAGTTTGAGTAGGTCTGAGGTGTCCATAATGCGGGGTAGGATAGTGAAAAATACGTCTTGCCTTATTGAAAAGATAGCGGCTGCTTGATTTTGGGGTTATGGCAAGAATGTGTTAGTTTTGTTTATTAATTATCAGGTGCCAAAAAGTCAAGCCACCATCTCTTACTTAGCTACTCAATCGAGGGCGAGGGCGAGGGCGAGAGAGAAAGAATGTGATGTTTTTTTTTATCTTTGATTGTGAAGGAGCGTGTTCTTTAGTGGTTTATTCTCAGATTACATTTGACGCCATGTTATAATTGGATTCGGGAACTTGGTGATCAGAATAGGAATCAGTTGATTCAAATTGAGAATCAGTTGGGCCAATCTCAATCTTATAAAATATTGGGAACCAGCCGGTTCTCCAATGAATCGTTCGGTTCCCATTGGTTTTAGCTGGTTCTCTGATAGATCCATTTGGTTTTGTTAGAGAACCAGTCAGAACCGAGCCTACTTTTTTTTCAATAATTTTATTTGCTAATATCTAGTTTCAGGATCCAGTTCGGTAAACTGGATTGCCAATCAGCCAAACCGGATTGAAAAACCTGAGAGAATCTAAATCGCTGATCTAATTTTTAAAACCTTTACCGGGATTAGCACTGGCAAAATGCTAGGCTTAGGCCCGGCCAGCCCTGGCCTTAGGCTTGTCCTACTCCCCTGATGGATGGGCTAGGCCCTGCCCAAGTACTATCAGGACCAGGTAGGGCCGGGTAAAATTAAAGGAAAATAAAGTAAAAAAAAAAAAGGCTAGGCCCGGTTGAACCGGACCAGGCCACCCAAACTGTTGCCACACCTACTAAGGGTGTCCTCCTATAAGAGAGAGAGAGGAGGGTCGCTGGGGGAGGGGTGGTGTTGGGGGCATAGTTTATTAGATTTCACTTCATTTCTCAAAGAAACATTTGCACATAATCCCCATAACACATGACGGTTCGTGCTTATTAAAGTGCTATCAACAACGCCACAAGGCCATTCTGGTAAGGAAAAGTTTAACTCCAAATCCATTTTCATCTTTTTGGGTGGATAATGCATTTTCATCTTGAATACATGATTTTGTCTTAAAAAACAGTAGCAAACTGTTAAATTGGGAAGGGATCTATGAGATTTTTTAACCTTAAAATCCATGGTACGATATTGCGGTTTGAAATATTCTTCACTTTTAAAATTCATGTTTCTGATTGTTGAGATTATTGACTCATGAGATTCGGGATCCAAAATTCTTCTCCAATGTAAATTTTAGAAGATCAACGCATTTAAATAAGTGCGTCAGCTGATGGACAAATACACGACTTCTCTGTAATTCAGGACGGAAAATCTCTTCTCTGTAAGAGAGGAGAAGCCACTTTTGCAAGCTTTGTTTGATCTCACCTGCCCAAGTTTGACAAATCAGCCATACCTTTATTCAAATACGCTGGAGGGTGCCCACTCATCATATGATTTGTTGGATGGTTCAGGCGACTATGCGCCTATGGCCTATGATTAGCACCCATGAACTGTTCATTTTTCCTTCCCCGCGAGTACAGTATGATGAGCCCAAGTTACGACAGCTTCAGATGAAGGAAGAATTGGGGTACGAAGAAAAAGGATTTCCCGAGGATCTAAAACCCTCGTGTCCAAGAAATGCATGATGAATACCACCAAAGCCTATGACTACAACTACAGAGGAAATTAAATGAAGTACTCTAGATACAAAGTATGGAAATGATTCTATAACTCTCCCCCACCCCCTTGGGACCTACCCCCAACTTCGAGTAGCTAGATAGGGAAGTAAAATTAATCTTTGTTCATACATAGGTT